CCCAGGTGAACGACAGGGGTGGGAGGAGGAGGTCGGGGTGGTACCCGTGAAACTAAACCTAAGGTGTTACTCAATGTGAAAAAAGGCTGGGAGACTCTGACCCTAAAGCTTGCACTCCTCCAATTTGGTGTTAACTGTATCTGCGAAAACAAATTCCCTAGTGCTGTATATTGTGCCCCATCTTGGTTTAACAAAGGGAGAATTCAGCAGACATAAATGATATAAAATATTGGAACCAATGACAAACAATATAACCATACAAAATGTTTTTTCTACCAGGAAAGAAACACAAATATTGTGGGTTTTGTGGGGTTCCCCCCCCCCCGTGTACTGAAAATATTTTAACCCTAACCCTATATTTTCATTTTAAGTTATATTTGAGTTCTCAGTGGGGCTCAGCTGATAGTATTTCTAATATTATTTTATCCCTGATTCCAGTCTTTGTATCCATAAGCTAATCTCTGGGCTGACAATGTCCTGTGTATCCTGAGCATACGTAACAATATGATCCTTTTGCTGGCCATGGCTACCCTGGTTGAACTATCTAGCGAGAGCTGTTATCTCCCCTTACGTAACAACTGTGCTGCCGAAGAAAATGTTTATGGGACTCCTTTCTGTGAGGTCCTAAACACCATCTCCTACTGGTTTCAGCTAGAGCTGATAGCAGTCAGTGCCTCACAGGAACTGGCCCTATGACAGTGTGTAGATAGGACTTAGTGATTTGCTACCTTGGTTGATTGACCACCATAGTTTTATACCATGTTGAATTTAGACAACCACATACACCAGTATTCCAGAATCAGCTTATTTATTTGTATTACTGTAGCACCTATGGGCCCTAGTCATGGACTAGGACCCCATTGTGCTAGGTGCTGTACAAATGTAGAATAAAAAGATGGTCCCTGCCTCGGGAACCATACAGTCTAAGTAATACTCATAGACTTTAAAGTCTGTGATCATGATCTATGGCTCTATGCTGACCTGGACATTGAAGGCCACAGAACCTCACCCACCCACTCCTGTAATAGCCCCCAAACCTCTGGCTGAGTTACTGAAGTCCTCAAATCATGATTTAATGACTTCAAGTTACAGAGAATCCACCATTTACTCTAGTTTAAACCTGCAAGTGACCTATGCCCCACGCTACAGAGGAAGGTGAAAAAACCCCAGCGTCTCTGCCAATCTGACCTGGGGGGGAAATTCCTCCTTGAGGCCAAATATGGCATTCAGTTCCCGCACACCTGGGAAAGAATTCTCTGTAGTAACTGAACCCTCTCTATCTCATCACTGGCCCTTGGAAATATTTGCAAGCAGTTGCAGATCGGCTGCATGCCATTGTAAGCAGTCTCATCATACCATACCATCCATAAAATTATCAAGCTCAGCCTTGAAGGCCAGTTAGGTTTTTTGACCCCACTGCTCCCCTTGGAAGGCTCTTCCAGAACTTCGCTGCTCAGTGGTTAGAACCTTCACCTAATTTGAAGCCTAAAGTTGTTGATGGCCAGAGGGACTCTGTCAAAGTTCACAGGCTCAAGCAATCTATGTGATCTTTGCCCTTCACTTCAATGGGAGGAGGATTAAGCCCGTAAACTTCATTTTAAATAAAATAACAATTAACATTTATGCAACTGAGAACCTACTGCAGTGCTGTTCTCCCATTCTGCATCCCTGCGCCTCTAGTCAGCAGGGCCGGCTCCAGGCATCAGCATTCCAAGCAGGTGCTTGGGGCGGCAATCTGCAAGGGGCAGCAGTCCGTGTGTTTTTGCCGCCCCAAGCAGCATTCCGAATTGCTGCCGCAGACAGCAGGGCAGTCCATGTGCTGTTAGGGCGGCAAGCGCGTTTCGATGGCGGCAGCAATTCGGCGGCAGCTTCTATGTTCAGCTGCCCGTGGTGGCAATTCGGCGGCAGCTTCTGTCTTCAGCTGGAAGACAGAAGCTGCCGAATTGCCGCCACCGTGGAAACGCGCGTGCTGCCCTAATGGCACACAGACTGCCCCCGCCGTCCGCGGCGGCAATTCGGCGTGCTGCTTGGGGCGGCAAAAACAGTAGAGCCGGCCCTGCTAGTCAGGAGACTGCTTATGGAAATTCACAAGCATCCGATCTTTCTAGTGCTTCAGAGAACATCATGCTTGCTCCCAGGAACAGAGTAAGCAGACTTGAAGTAGCTTGACGTGCCTTTGAGCATTTGAAACAAAGCCAAACCAAAACAGAATAATCTTCATAGGAAGTGATCTAAACCTCATTGCCTGAGATATTTAACCCTGCACTGGACAAGTCAAATGAGCTAATAGATTTTTAGAGATAGAAAAGATCTATAACCCTCTATTTAAAATTTGGTAGGTCTAATTTTAGTTCTTGGGCGTCCTTTTCTAACAATCTTTTTCTAGCATTAATTAAGTCTCTTTGTAGCTAATTAACTTCTAATAAAGCAGCAATTTATGAATTACTCAATTACATTATGGTATTCCCAGGAAATAATAGATTTTTCTAATATTCTTTCAGCAAACAAAATTAGCAATACCTTAGCAATTTCAACATATCCTTGTAACAAAATGTCTTGAACTCGAGGTTACATTAAATTTAAAAGCATAATGTGAAATATGCTTCAGGTTGTAGGCATGTGACACTCATTATCAATATGAATGGATAGATAGAAAACTTATTGTATAATTTTACTTTACGGAAGCAGCTTGAATGAATAGGAAACAGTGAGTGGAATCCTAGCCCCACAGACATTGGGAGTTTTGTCACTGACTTCCATAGAGCCAAGATTTCATCCAGAGTGTTTTGGGGACAGAGAAAGTTAGTGAAGAGAGGAGATACCAGTAGTTTTGGGGATGCCATTTTGATCTATATAAAACTAGGGTTAGCTTTTGTTTTAGCATTGTGTTTTGAATTTATGCTTTGCCAAAACAAAAACAAGATCCATTTAGATCTGGGTCCCATTTCTCCTGTGTACCTAGAGTTCAGGAGTCTGGGTAGATGTTTCTGGTTATAGTCCATTTCTATATGAAACAGATTAGCGAAACTATAAAGTGATTTAGGTTTTCCAAAACCTAACTATAGTTTAGATCCAATGCTCAAGTTATCCAAACCCTAGGAGATAATAAAAATGAAGTTTACGGGCTTAATCCTCCTCCCATTGAAGTGAAGGGCAAAGATCACATAGATTGCTTGAGCCTGTGAACTTTGACAGAGTCCCTCTATTTTTTCTTAATCTAGTAGTGATTTTTGTTAAAATATATTTTAATTTTATTTCTTCATTCCTTCCCCATTTTTGTATTTTCTCACCATGTGGAAACTACAAAATATGGATTACACACAGATGAGGCAGCCACTTAGCATTTGCTCAAAGCTAGATTACTGTATACTATGTGGAAGAGTATAGAACGGCTGCATTGGAAGACACTTGTATTGTGTTGTAGTGATTCAATAAGTTGACTCATACAGGGTTACCATATTTTAAGTGTCCAAAAAGAGGACACTCCATGGGGCCCCGGCCCCGCCCCAACTCCGCCCCCGGCCCTGCCCCTTCCCTGCCCCAACTCCGCTGCTTCCCGTGAACATTTGATTTGCGGGAAGCCTGAAGCAGGCAGGCAGCAGGTAAGCTGGGGCTGGGGCTGGGCGGGGGGGCGCGAGGAGGCACGGCCCAGTCCGGCCCCCTGGCCGAGCGGCTCCCTCCGGCAGGCGGCCGGCCCAGGCCAAGAGGCTCTGGCCCCGGCGTCTCCCACCCGGCTCGGCTCGGGCCCTGGGGCGCTGGCCCCGCAACCCCGGCCCCCAGCCGAGCACTGCCGGCCCCTCCCTCCCTATTTTCCCGGACATGTCCGGCTTTTTGGGATTTCCTCCCGTACGGGGATTTGAGGCCCAAAAAGCCGGACATGTCTGGGAAAATCCGGACGTATGGTAACCCTAACTCATATGGATGGTGAGATGGATGAGATGCTTTTGAGATACACACTAGATAAAAATGAATATGCTGTGCAAGTCAGAGCCAGGTAAATCTACTTGATACCGTGTCTTACAGCAAAATTAGGGCCTATTCCTATGATCCTGAGCAGCTCATGCAGGTCTGGTGAAAGGTTTTGTGCAGTCTCCCCTTCAGTAGGCGCAATGACAAACTTGTATTGTTACCCAGCATAAGATTGTTCTTCAGATATAGTGGAGGCAGGACTGGCGAACTCAGGCTCCTGGTCTTGCAAATACTCAAACATTTAGGTTTGTGCTTAATTTTAAGCAGATGTTTGCAGGATCAGGAGCTCTGTTCAGTGTTTGATGTCTTCAAAGGATGCCCCTCTGTGTTGACAACACAAATATTCCTAAGGAGCCTAGAAAACACGAAGTGGTGAGGCTCATTCCTGGCAGTGCGGGGAGGAATGTGTCGTCATCCTTCTGCTGCCCCAGTAGCATATGGGATTTGTAAATTTTTGTGTATGGAAGGTTGCTAGTAGTAACCTTCCATTATTCCTTCAGCTGAACATGCAGAAGCACTGTGAGCAAAGTCTTCTCTCTGCCCATTTATAGTCGGAGTCTCTCCTTAAAGATGATAAAGCTACAGGTTTTTAAATGACTGTAAATGTCGTCTTTGGACAGTAGGTTGTATTTGGAAAGGACTGCACTAGTGGTACTGTAGCACATGCACATAGATCACTGTAGTAGATAATAAGGTCTGTGATGAACAGGCATTGTGAGCCCAGTCGCTTCAATTATTTACTCCAATGTTTCAATTTACAGGTTCTGTTTTTATCTATCCACATCATGAAGTTTCATAGGCAGAAGTAGTGGGATGCTGACTTCTTACATTCAGACTCAGTGTGTTGCACTGAAAATAAGTCCTGATATATACACACTTCATATTTGGCGTAGCATATAGTTTGTATTTTCCAAAGTTTCTGGTATTAGGGATTTAATTGTAGAAACAAGTGTGGTGGGGTTTAAATAAATATTGTGTTTTCTTTCACTCACAGTAACAGCTGTGATTTTATTTTTTCTTTTCTTTCACAGGAAGAAGGTATAGTGAAGGAAATAGACATCAGTCATCATGTAAAGGAAGGTTTTGAAAAGGCGGATCCTTCACAGTTTGAGTTGCTGAAAGTATTAGGGCAAGGTTCCTACGGAAAGGTAATTTTCTACAGTAGGTAATCATTCAGATTAGCATTGTGAGAAGATAACATAATGGACCTAATCTGCTTTGAACAGCACTAGTCCCATTCCATTGAAGTCCATGAAGTTGTAGGGGCAGAAGAGCATATTTGCCATTTACTGGTGTCCTATGTAAGACACAGGTTAGGGGATCATGTTTATAGGGCTAGGCCTAGAACACGAGTGAGTGTTATGTACTGGGTATGTAATCCCCTCCTTGTTGCGTTAACCCACCCCCCAGCTGTTTCAGAGGTGGTGATTGTGCTATAATTGCTAGTTAGGGGACATTGGTTGGGATTTTCAAAGAGGCCTGTGGGAACTAGGCATCCAATTCCCATTGACTTTCAATGAGGTTTGGTCACATAATTCCCTCAAGTCCCTTTGAAAATCCTCTGAGGTTCATGTTCTGAGCTCTGGAAATTCCAGGCTTAGGGAGCAAGCTACCAACCATTAAAGTTAAAGCATGGGACTAGGAGTCAAATGGTGTCACTGGCAGAGCTGCAACTAAAACATGTATGGTCTTGAGCTTTCACTTACCTTCTCTGTGCTTCAGTTTACCCATCTATAAAATGAGATTGATAGCTTCCTCACAGTGGTACTGAGAGAACTTTATGGTGCTCAGATGAAAAGTACTATGCAACTGCAAAGTATTATTATCTTTAAGAAAGATAAACTAGTTTTGCATTGTCACATCCATTTTTAATGCCCACAAAAGCCATGTTTGTGCACACATTCCATTGCTGTGTGCATATTGTACATATCTATTACAAAACAACATACAAAGACTAGAAACCACAAACCATCACCTGAAAGTCCTTTGGTTAAGCATCCACATTTCTATGGTCTGAATTAATGAGATCTCCAAACTTTTGCAAGTGTGACCCCCGCTAGCGGCTGGTGAGCCTAATTTAAACCAGGTGCCAAAAATCCTTGTTTAAAGTTTATTTTTCTTGGTTTGTTTGAAAATATATTCCCCAGCCCTGAACCCTTGATCAATCTGCCTTCTAAAATCAACTGAGTTACACCAGCATAAAATGGAGAAACAGTGTCAAGATGTCTAGAGTGGCTCACAACTGTGAGTGCTGACCTCAGGGCAGACGCTCCAAACTGGTTGTATGTTCTAGAATTAGATTTCACCAACCCAGTAACAAGTGTGAACTCCTGAAGCACTGTAACTGTCTTACCATGGAGTTGCAGACAGTCCCCTTGGGCATTCCACTCTATCTTCCCACCCAGGCAAGCTGGACTATGTGATAGATGGTCACTTTACACCAAAAATCACAATACTCTGGTACTTTGGGAATGGGAGTAAACTGTCAGTCACTTACCCCAGGTCATTTGTACTCCGATCTCAACCCAAAGATAATGCCTGTAGCCAATCCTGTAATAAACTAACGATTTATTAACTAAGGAAAACAAATAGGAGTTATTTATAAGGTTCAAACAGGAAACACACACACACACACACACACACACACACACACACACACACACACACACACACAAATGAGTTACCATTAAATTGAAAATGGTCATATAAGATTCTATAATAAGCAGCTCTATATGTCCTTAAGGGCTGACCAGGCCAAGCAGCATGGGGATCTCTTGCTTATGTTTAGGAACCCTTACTCCTCCAGGTCCAGACAGCATAAAGATCCTGGTTTCTTCTTGTCAGGGATTTTTATCCCCTATTCCCCAGAATCCAAGCGGATGGGATGAGTTCATGCACAGGTTTTCACTTTGTGGAAGAAGTTAGGAATGCTATCAACAAGGTCTCTGTTCTTGATGCTACATAATGCTCATTTGCCTTCAGTGGGCCATCTTGTGTGCAGGACGAACACTTTACCTGCTTTTCCTGTTTGAGTTATACAGTGACAGAGGTTTACAATGCAAACATTCAGTATAACATAGTATTATAAGTAGGATTAATGCATGCAACATCCTCTAACATTCCATGAAGTCTACACACTAAACACATTCTTATAACAATATCTATTTTAACTATACTAACCCATAGATAAAGCCAGACTGGCTTCCAGCTATGCATTTGTCAGTGTCCAATGAGGCCTGGGGCCTTGGCATAAGCTGGCACCTGGTCTGCCAGGGTCACATACTGATGAAGCAGACCCTACAATTTTATTCCTGAGACCAGCTATATCTAGAGGAGTTATCAGCTTTCCTGAACACTGCAAACAGATAATTATCACTGCATCTGTTACAAGTTCCCTGGGATGAGGGAATTTGGAAACCACTCACCAGCAAATTTATGACCTGCAGCCCTGCATAGGAAAGACCATAGTATTCTTATGTTCTGAATATCTGCATTAAAAAACAGCCAGACCAAGTAAGCATTGGCTGCTGCGGTGAGATGCAATGGTTTAAAAAAAAAAAAAAAGTGCGGGAGGGTTTGTTCTTTCAAGATCAGCAATTGGCAGCTCTCCTTATTCCAAATGCCCCAGAGCTTTTGCTCTGTTGTAGTTTCTCTCTATCAAACTTAATCCAAACTTTTCAGAATATGGGTATAATAAATATTTCAGAAATGGTTCAATGGCCATCTTAGAGTGTACTGCTGTATTTCATTATTAGTCCTCTAAATTGGCTCTTTACAGTTAACATTTCACAGCTAAAATAGCTAGTCTCTGGTGCCACAGAAATACTTTCCAAAGGAAGACTTGGTCCTGATGGGCAAGGTCCATACACTTCAGTGAAGGATCAGTGAATAACGGGGTACAGATTCAACCTAGCTTGGGTTGTGGGTGATTGCAAGCCACCATTCAGGGAGCTATGTGAAATAAGTTAGTGCTCTCCATACCACAACAGGCACTATTTGGCAGCTTCAGCCGAGAGGCATGGGATTGAATGCCCCTGGAAAGCTAATCGCCTCTTCGCTCCAGTAATGGTCCCTACAGGTTAGGACAGGGTGGGGAAGCTTGCACTAGGGTTCCTTGTGCTGTTCCTATCTAGGTTTTCATCACCATAATTTCTGAGATCCTTGTTTAACTTTATAGCATGTTAGTCTCCAGGACTGTCAAATCACCACTTTTCATGGCTACTAGCTGGAGCCAACTCTCTGCTGCAGGATGCTCAAAGAAACTTCCTTTGTAGTCTAGTAGAGCTGCAGGTGCTCAGCATCTCTGAAAATCTTATTTAGGTGCCTAAACAAGGGTTTAGTTGTCTAACTTTAGGCAACCACATAGGTTGAGGGGAATTTTGACAATTCTATTTGAATTCCATTGTACCTTTAAGAATAAGAAGACATCATTTTGCAACACAATGCATTTTTGTTTGTGTCATTTCCCTTTTGGTTTCATAATTATTTTGATGTCCTCTAAAACAGCACACAATGTTCCTTGACTCATTTGTTTTGGAGGGGAATGCAGACCAACTGCAATATCCCATGCTACACAGAACAGCTGACAAATGACTAATAATTTAAGTTGATAATTTTTCTTATTACAGCCATAGGGATATTACTGGCTTTGCAAGATTATATAGCATACAGTGAGATTTTTTTTCTGCCCCATACTTCAGCCATTCCAGTTTAATATCCGTGCAGGTATAATGTGCTGTGCTACTGAAAGTTCAAGGCCTCTTATGAAACAGTATATCTAATACTGTCCACTTGATTGGGAGTTAGATACCATGCCAATGTTTAAAGGTGAATAACAATGCTGAAACTCTGGGGTTTAGCCAAAGTTGCTTGCTGTGATTTTTTTTTTCCACTTCCGATCCCCATAATGCTAGACACTATTTCTGAGTAGAATTGAGTGAAAAACACACACACAAATTTCCGTGGATAGTTGAACTTTTAAATGATTAGCTTTGGCAATGTCCAGTCCTCTTTCTGTCTTTGATTGCCATGAATATTTGAGTAATTGAGTTTAACTAAGCAAGAATGTTAATGAAAAATGTATTTGCTAGATTTTACACTTTGAACGCACAATTATTGGTGGTAGAGGCGCTTCACTTCTAGTATCTGTCCAGCAGCAGAAGTCCTGAAATACCCCAGAGAACAGCTTCTCTGATTATATTTCTGGCCCATGTGGAACCAGTACATACTGGAAATTGACTGAAAGACCCTGCTCTTCTGAGATTTCTTGCCTTATTGATAGACCAAGGAGGTATGAATAGTTTGTAAATCTTCAAACTAAGTTTTGGGAGGCTTATAGTGACTGAACTAAATTGCTTATTTCTCCCTTTCCCTTTTGTCCCAAAAATTCACCTGGGACTAGATAGGAAGAAATTGCTGCACATAATAAAACAAAAACATGTATTTTGTAAATTTTCAGAGTCAAAAGGTGTAATAATAGGAACCTCTCTCAGATGTACGCTGGGCAAACGATCTGTATTGGTGACCAATTCATTGATCAAATGTAGTCCTTTTTTCTGTTCATGAAGTTTTCATGAACAGACTTTGATCTTTGCAATTTTACAATACTTATGCACACACATGTCAACTTCTGGATTGTTAATGAACTATTCAACTATATGCTCAGATTGTCAATCATGAACAATGAATCACATAATATGGTTTCTTCTCTCTGAGTCAAATGATTAAACCTCTTTAAATGGGCTGAACACATCTGGGCACAAATGGCAAATATCTTGTTTTCATGCAAATAGAGCAGTTACTCAAAGAACATCCATTCTCCAGACGTTCATGTGAAATAGCTGTTCAGAAATCAAATGTTTACAAACACTGTTACTATTCAACCAGCTTTAACTGGATGTGTAAAGAACAGCTGATAATATTAAACATGTCACCTTTAGGAGAGGGCAAAAGGGTAGAAAATGAAGCCTACAAGGGCCAGCTAAGCCAATTGTTTGTGAAGTAAAAACTAAACACTTTGAGCTATTAACTTTTCCTTAGAATTCTTGCCGTCTCAGTATCCATTACTTCATCAACTTCAGCAAATGCTCTCCCCTCAAACCACAGTACTTGATTACATAAATGTCTTATTTTTGTAGGTATTTCTGGTGAGGAAGATCAAAGGATCTGATGCTGGCCAGCTTTATGCCATGAAGGTACTTAAGAAAGCAACTCTGAAAGGTATGGATTAAGACACTGGGCTGAAAACGCTATCTCTTTTATTGCAATGTTTAGGATTTGTTGGCATAGTTTTGTAGGATTTAAGAACACAAAAGCATGTTCTTATCAGCCTCCACCATTCAATTTCCTCATTATGGATGGAACTGAACTTACTAAAACGCCACACTTTCAGTGCAACATTGTGCCTTTAAATAATTTCACCCAAAATTTTGCACCTCCAAGTTATTTGCAGGATCAAATAATAGATGAGGAAATGTTATTTTACAGCACCTGCAAATCAGGCAATAGGTGCAGGTGTTCTCATTTGCACCTGCAATAAATTGCAGGCAGTGTTATTTGTGGGCACCAAATTAGAGGGCAGTTCCAAAAATTGATCCCTAAAATTTTTACATCAAAAAAGTTTTTCATTTTTCAATATTTAGCCATTTTAAGAAAATGCTCAATATTGTCACTATCACTAGAAAATGCAGTTATATTTTGTGTTCATAAGAACTAAAATGTTTAGGCAAGGAAAGCTGTGCACTGATTATTTACGTTTTTTTTTTTTTTTTTTTTTTTTTTTTTTTTTTTTTTGGTAACAATGAAGAGAAATTGTTGTTCCATCTGTAATCGGTACCATAGCTCAATCTGAGTAGCAAAGACAGACTTGGTTGCCGTATGGAAAAATAAAATGTTCGGCTTTCTCATTTTATTCTAGTTATAGCTGTGGTTGAGAGAGAGTTCAGTGATTCAATTCACTTGTTTTTTTTCTTTGCTGGCCATACAGTATGGGAGCCAGAAATTAAATAAGGAATTTGGTATTTGCTAATTCTGCATGACTTATTCACTATTTTAATAAGGATTATTTATAGTTCTTCTGGGGTTACTTTAAATTTGTATCTGAGAAAATAACTAACTATTGATAAAAGTAACCCTACTGAATGATTCTCATTACATAGTTGAAAACTCACGGGCTCAAACTTTCAAGAATGACAAGTTATTTCTGGGTGCCTAACACCTCTCAATTTGGATATCTACAAATTCTAGGTAATCTTGGTTATGACTAACAGCACAGTAGACGTCAAGTGGCTGATGACATGACACAGCAATTCTCTTGAGAACCAACCAAAACATGCAAACAGAAAACTAAGCACTCACATAGCATTATCTGACGTCAAAGCCCTTTACAGACATTAACTACAAATGCTGAAGCAGCTGCTGATCTTTCCATTTAGAATTTATATAGAAGAGTTTGCACTCTGCTGTTTTTCCTGGAATAAACATCCATCTAAATATTTCTGATTCTAATGGATAAATATTTGTGTGTGTTTATACATGGTTTATAATGGAGAAAATCCTCAAGTCTTTATTCATAGTCAAATTCTGTAATACTTCAACTAATCAAAACTGAGTGTTCTCCACCTGTGAAAATTATTTCTGCTCTGTGAGAAATCTGAGGAAAGAACACATAGCTTGTTACTATTTTTGTGAACCCACAAAAACGTAACCCTTCCCCTGTGAGAGTTTTATTTTTTCACATCCCCGTATAGATGAGTAAGGTCCTTGGAGCAGGAACGACCTCTGGTTTTCTGTCTTGTGCAGCACCAAGTACACGCTCACCACTTAACAAATAATAGGATACACTGTCTGCAGTTTTGTAGCTGTGTTGGCCCCAGGATATTAGGCTGTGGGTATGTCTACACTGGAAACTTCAGAGCTGCCGCAGGAACGCTCCTGCAGCGGCGCTTTGAAGTGTGAGTGTGGTCGCGTGCTCTGGTAATCCATCTCCACAAGGGGATTAGCTCCGAGCGCTGGGAGCCTGTTTACACTAGTGCTTTAAAGCGCTCAAACTTGCTGCGCTCGGGGGGGTGATGTTTCACACCCCTGAGCCAGCAAGTTAGAGCGCTATAAAATGTAAGTGTAGACAAGCCCTGTGTCTACATTGCCACTTTAAGCGCTAAAACTTTAGTTGTTCGGGGGTGTGAAAAAACACCCCCATGAGCAATACAAGTTTTAGCGCTGAAAAGCACCAGTATATTGAGCGCTTTATCACTGGGAGTGGGGAGACACCCCTCATTCAGGGTGTTTATTTTTGTGACTACACTGCCCACGTCACAGCACTGCCACAACCGCACTATAATGTGGGCAGTGTAAACATACCCTTAGAGAGAGGAGGTGGAACAGATTGTTTAGCATAAGTAGCTAACACACATTTCAAGGGGTCATTCAAGGTGAAGTGGCCTGTTAACACCTTTCCAGTCATGAAGCGGGGAGGGGGAAAACCAGGGTGAGGTTGTTAGCAGGTTACAGATTGGATTTATGGCTTATTACAACAGTGTGTCTCTTCAGTCTGATTTTTTTTTAGTGTCTAGCAAAAAAAATTAAGTTCACAGGCTTGTCTTTTGAAGGTGTTGTGCAAGTTTATTTTGAGGATGAGGACTGGGAGGTCAGATGAGTGATCACTTTGTGAAAAGTGTTGACCCACAGGTGATATGGTGTTTTTGTCTCATGTTTCTGTGCGAGTTCCTTCGAGCATGTAGTAATTGTCTGGTTTCACCCACGTTGTTGGGGCATTAGGGCCCTGGATCTGGTACACCACATGTAAGACCCATGCATCTTGAAAGGTGTGTTGTGGGGGGTGTTGACCCTCGTAGCAGTGAAGAGATGGCTGCAGGTTTTGCATCTGTTCTGGCAGGGTTTTGTGCTGCTTTGAGTTGGCGTCATGGGCGCTGACTCCGTGGGTGCTCCGGGGCTGGAGCACCCATGGGGGGGAAAAATGGTGAGTGCTGAGCACCCACCAGCAGCCCCCTTATAAGCTTCCCCACCACCACCAGTGCCTCCCCCTCCCTCCCTGCGACTACTGCCCACTGCAAACAGCTGTTTTGTGGCGTGCAGGAGGGACGAGGGAGGAGCAAGGACACGGCGCGCTCAGGGGAAGGTATGGGGCGGAGAGGGGGTGGAACTGGGCATGAAGAGGTGAGGTGGGGTGGAGCAGGGGCAGGAAGGGGATGGGGCCTTGGGGGAAGGGGTGGAGTGGGGGCAGGGCCTGGGGCAGAGCTGGGGGTTGAGCACCCCCGGCACTTTGGAAAGTCCGCGCCTGTGGTTGTCGTGTCTTTGTCTGTGGGGAGCTTGTTTCTGATGATGAGCTTGGAGAGAGAGGGAAGTAGTTTGAAAGTCAAAAGAAATTCTACAACCTCATCCCTCATGAACCCACCCCAGAGACCTTCTGCATGCTTCCCAAGATACACGAACAAGGGAACCCATCATACTTGGTCCTGGCACTCTTACTGACAGAATATCAGGACTCATAGAAACCATCCTCAAACCACTCACTGCACAAATGTCCAGCTTCCTCCTGGACATAACTGGCTTACTCCACAACATTAACAAATGCTCTCAGAACACCATCCTTGCCACCAGGGATGTCACCTCCCTATACACTAACATTCCTCACAAGGAAGGCATCCCTGCCTGCCTCAAATATTTAGAAAACAATGGACCACACTCAGATATCCACTCCAAACACATCGCCAAACTCATCCACATCATCCTCACCCATACAATTTTACATTCAACAGATGCTTCTGGTTCCCCTCCCCCTGCATCTGCACAACATCACCATGCTTCCTAGAGTACTCCACAGCTGCTTTTCAGACATTTAGTGGTAACACCTGGAAGCTGTGACAGGAATGTGATCTCTGCCAGATCCCACCTGCTCCATTCAGACTGGTCACAGTGTGGAGATTCCAGTCAGCGGGTATGTTTTCACTGACTTTTGTGCCACTAGGGATCAGCATAGGGTAAAGAACAAAAGCTTGTAGCCCAGGTCAAAGGCATGGGGAGGTCCACATTAGCTTCTTACAAACATGTTATCTACCTCGAATTAACTGGCAATAAATTCACTTGAGTTACAAAAGTGAAGACAGCCCAGAAGTGTGATGAAGGAAGGGAAATATTAAAAGAGCTGCAGTGAGAGCTGCTGTCAGTGAAGTTCCAAAGAATTTGGCTCAGAGGATAATAGTTTTGACAGCTTAATTTGATCTTTAAGTGAGTTCTAAATTGTCGCTGCCCACCCACACTGAGCAGGGCTGGAAATCCCTCCAACTTGAGGTATTTATTACCATGTCAAATGATGGGTGCAAATGCAGAAGCGCTTGCTAGCTATAATTCAGTAATTACTGGCAAAAGCATTGCTGCCCTTTATTTTTTTTTTTTTTTTTTGCGTTACCCACCCTGCACTGAACTGCATAAAGCTGAATGTCACCTCCTCATGAGTAAGGTTAAGATTTTTGTCATGGATATTTTTAGTAAAAGTCAGGGACAGGTCACGGGCAATAGCTAAAAATTCACAGAAGCCTGTGACCTGTCCCTGACTTTTACTAAAAATATCCATGACAAAATGGGGAGGGAAGAGGGTCCCACACCTATAGTGGCTGAGACGTCCAGGGGCCCCCACGGACTGGCAGCTGGGCAGCTGCAGGGGGTTGCCACCCGCACTGCTGAGAGGTGTGGGGTGCCCCACTGCCTATGGCGGCTAAGAGGTCCAGGACCCTCCCACAGACAGCTGGGCAGCTCTGGGGGGGGCCACTTCCCACAGCAGCTGAACACTCCGGGGAGTTCCCCCCCACCCCGGCTCCCTGTGGCAGCTGAGAGCTGTCCCGGGACTGAAGTGAAAATGTCACTGAGGTATCTGGAAACCACAGATTCTGTGACATAATCGTAGCCTTACCCATGAGTAGCCCTGGCAACCCCAAAAACCACATTGATTGTTTTTCTGTATGAAGATAAATTTACAACAACATAAGGGAAGTGTGGGGGGGAGGGGCGGGGAATGACAGCTTAAAAAAAAAAAAAGGCTGCAGAAAGCCTTGCCTGTTTGGATTAGTCTGAGGAGCTAGTTTGTGGGTAAAGAAGAGTATGAGGCATTTAATGCATGTTTTAACCAAGGGTTACCCACTTATGGTGAATCTCTTATTCTTTGTCAGTAGATAATCTCTCCAGGCTAGTTATGCCTCATTAGT